CTCATTTCCACCTGTAAATTAGTGTTGTTCGAGTTGTATTTCATCATGTGAATGGTAAATATTTGTAGTTTGATTGGTAAATGTGCATTACGTGACTGATAAATTTGAAGGTCTTCTTAATAATTAATTTGTGAATTTGGTCATTCAGTGTAATTCTTCCTAATATTTTAAAACTGAACTTTAAATGTTTTGTTTTATGCCTTCTCCACTCTCCTCCCATAACTGTCCTGTTACCTGATATGACTTGAATTTCTGCACGCCATGTATTGTTGGTGCAACATGCAGGATCATTCCCCTCCTGTCACACCCGTAGAAGTAATCGGAGTAGTTCGTGAAAGTGAGAAACCAAGTATTTTTGTTCCAGCAAATGATCCTGAGTCTTCCCAATGGTTCTATGTTGATGTTCCAGGCATTGCCCGTGCTTGTGGACTCCCAGAAAACACTATCTATCTTGAAGATATTAATGAAAATATCAATCCAAGTAATCCTTACCCTATCCCAAAGGATGTCAACACTTTGATTCGAAGTTCAGTCATGCCTAGAGACCACCTCAATTATACAATGACATGGTATGCAACATTTTTCTCTTTGCCGAATGGATGAATTCGTTGTGTTTAATTGAAGTTTATTGCTCTGACGATATTGAAGTTAACCATTGTTTTAATGTTGGTGCCTTTCCTTGTTTTACTTAAGCCGATGATTGCTTTTTTGGGGTTGACTATATCATCAGTTATAGTACTGGCTTTTATAATCTTGGCAGACAAGATCGTAGGTTGTTTTGAATTGACAACGAAATATTATGTAATTGAAATTAGCTAAGTTAAAATTGGGTATCAGTAGTAGTATCCTGCTGAATCGCTGCTAAGGAATTTTTGTATTGTCAAGGTTGTGTAGATTGTTAGTGATCTTAACTGGAGCATTATCAGCTGTTAAATTTGGTCTGAAACCAAAAAGTGAAGAAAGTATGCCTGTGCAGTAAGAAATCCTTTGGCACTCTTTAGGAGGACCCTGATAGGAAGAATAGAAATTGTGCCATGCAAAGCTTGTATCTCTCATTCTTTTTGGTTTTTCTCTTGGTTTAAAACATCATTGCTAGGAAGCAGGGTGTGCATCTTCCATTGGAAGATCAAGCCTTATGGTTTTTCAGTGATTAGTCAAGCAGTATAGCAGATCATGGCATTATTGTTATTTCCCTTCGGACTTGTTTTCTTTCCTGTCGTGTGCTCTTCTTAAGCCACCATATTATACATCATCTAGTATTGCTTCAGATTTTTCTTCGAATAAAAATTGCTTTGGGGAACACTTCCGCCAAAAAGGGGTCTCAAGATAGTAAAACCTTTTCTGTTGGTATTAATTCTGCTTGAATTTAATTATGTCTAAATTGCAGTTAACCTAATTTGTTAGCAAGCGTACTGCTTCCAATAATGAGCGGCTGATTAGTACACAGATTAGAATTTCATTAGTTTAAACTGCGGTAACTAACAATAATGGAATCAATATCTGAAATTCGGATATTGAAGGTGTGGCCATAGGAAAAATACTTGTTCTGTGAAGTATTGGACAATGGGTTGAGTATTCAGAAGTTGAATTTTAGCACATAGTTCTAAGAAGTTCCATCCTTCCATTTTAAGCATTTAGAACTCTATCACTGAACATAATTTCAAGCCGCTTTGTGTGCTCCATTTTTTCCCCTTGCCTCTAGGCCATAACAATTTCCTGTGTTGATTTTATTCTTCTCTGCCTGGGATGGCTGTATTTCCTATTATCTCTGGGTTTCACCTAATTGTGAGTTTTAATTTATAACGGAATTAAAAATTTTGACACAAAGAAATAGCTTGGAAGTAAGAGACAGTTGAAACGTCTCCGCTAAACTAAATCTCGTTATGAAATCCCTTAATGTCTTTGACTCTGTCATTTCCGTTGTCATCTTTTAATTTTAATTTTATTATTATTATTATTATTATTTTTTTTTATAGTTTCAGAAGTATGACAGTGTTTGGTTTTATCTGACATGTAATGGAGTTTTTCTCTTTGTCATGCATCTCATGACACAAATCTTTAGGATTTTTTTCCCTTGTGCTTGCTGTGTTCTGTGATCACATGGGAATTTTTATATCCGTTCTGGTGAGGCATTCTCATTAGAATGTAGGGGTCCAAAGTACCTTCTAACCATTATAATTTTTTTTCTCTGGATGGGGGAGCAGGTATTCTCTTTCTGCAGCTGTTACATTTATGGCATTTAAGAGACTGAGGCAGAAAAATAAGCGGAGATAACAAAATCGTCACTGCGCATTTCCCAGTAATATGGCATGGTGCATACATCTCCATTCATGTTTTCGCGCTTAAAGTCAGATCTTAACTGAACGGGAATTATTTCCATCTAAGTTCGGTTCAAATGATATCTTCTCAGCCTAGGGTATGGCTCTCGCCCTAAATGATGATAAGATTATGTTTCTTGACACTTATGTTTTACTTAACGATGAGGTGGATGGCGATTAAATTGTTCAGCGGCAACCAAGCCAATTTTCCATCTGAAAATAAAGTATTGTTACTTGTTTTGAGAGGACAAAGTATTAAAAGTAGGAGGTAGCTGAGGAAGTGAGTAGTTGAATCAGTCCCAATCTCAATACTTGATGTTCAATTTTTTTTTCCTATTAAGTTTTGTTCAAACTGAGCTCTTAACATGTCCAGGGTTTGTCAATGGTCATTTTTGGCCATTCCCCTTGCCGGCTGAGTTCAGTGACCTATTTGTGCTGTGCTTACATGATTATGTTTTGTTTTCCCCGTTGGCATGGGATATCATTCTTGTTTCATTGGCTGTGCCTGTCCTTCATTGATGTGGGAATTTTAATTGAGCAGGCTTCGTATGGCACTGCTAAGAGGCGGAAAATTTTATGGGTAATTTTGGAACATTCCAAAAAACATACTTTCATTTTAAGTTGAATCTTCGGTAGCGGTAGAAGTGTAAATTCTGTGGCATGAATCATAGCTAAAGATCTTAAATTTAATGGGAAAATTCACAGGAAAGAAATAGTCACCAAGAAAATTACCGAGAACTCATTATCACATGCTGCTGGCTTATAAAACTTCTATAGTTATACTCTTAGATTGAAATGTATCCAGCATCTTGAATTATATTTCCCAGTACATCCAGTCCTGCATTCTAAATTATTTTGAAGCATAAAATTACATTAAAAAATATTTTAAGATACTGAATCCACCTGAAAAAATAATTTATAGTGCTAGAAAATATTTTAGGCACGTTAGAAAATGCTTTCAGCACTCTTCCTTAAAATCTCATAATTATTTACCCCACATTAATTTGCACTGTTGGTCATCGTCCGTTATTTATTTTCAGCATATTGCTGATTTCAACCATAATCGATTTTAACAAGTTTCCAGGACAAATGGTTACTTCTAAGTTAACATAACTCTATCAGCGCTTAAACTCCATTGGATGCAGCCACCCCCAGCTTATGTGACAAAAATGTAGCAGGGTATAAATAAATATCAAAGATCAAAACTCTGCTTTTTTTTTTTTGTAAAAACATATAATGGGATCATCAAAATAACTTGGATCCTTGCACGCAGGGCTGTGCCAAAAAAACCCAAAACCTGGTTTGCTCGGTCTGACCGCAACAACCCGGTCCCCCCTGGTCTGAAAAAAGCTGCCTGGAAAAAGAAAAAGAAAAAGACTAGGCCAATCGGGTTAGACTAGAAAACCGGGCAAGATTGAGTTTAGGACTAATGCTTCGAACCATTTGGTCTGACCTGGTCCAGGTAGAATTTTTTTTTTTTTTGCCCTCCTTATTTTTTCACCTATGCCATGATTCCTTCTATCCTCCTCTTCCTTTGGCCTCCTCTTCCTTCAACTTGTCGCCGCTATTCCTCTTGACTATCGATCTTCCCTCTACTCTCATCTCTCCATATTCACTCAAACTTCGGTGTTAACGTCAACTTCGCCTCTTTTGTACCCTACATTTCCACTTAGGCTCTAGTGTCGCTACTTGTTAGTCTTTCCCATTCTCCACTTAAGTTTTGGCGTTTCAGCTTCTTCACTCTCTTGGTGATAATTGACCCCATCCTTCTCCATTTTCACTTATAAGTTCAAATTTCACATAGATTTCATATTCATTTTTCAAGTTATCAGACTTTGATTATATCTTGGATAATTTTCATGCTCTTCTATGATAGGTCTGTAGGGGTGGTTTTTGAGACTAAACTCCATTGTTGGTGGTGGTGGAAGAGAGTGAGTGTTGGGAGAAGGGAAGATGAAGATGGGTTCGAAATAGTTTGATGATTGTTGTTCCGTGAACTTGAAGATGGGTTCTTGAGTGTTCACTATTCACCATTCAAATTAGGGAAAAAGGATGAGGGCGTGATGCGCAGAGAAGGAAAAAATTGCATTTTAAAGTATATATTTTTATCAAAAATTTAAAGTTTTTAAATTTTAAAGGAAAAAATTCACCATTCAAAAAATATTTTTATCAAACCATTTTATTTTATTAGAATATAATATGGAAAAATCGGAAAGAAAATGGGTCTACGCCTTTGTATGTATGAGGGGAAAAAATGACAGCCCAGATCCAAATCCAGAGTTTTTTGTATAATCCTTTTTTTTTTAAAGGAAGGAGCAAAGTTTGGTGGACTGGTCGAGTAACCCGACAGACCAAGTCCAACCCGGTCTTTGTCTCGAGTTCTTCAATCAGACTGGACAGGACCTTAGACCAAATATTTCAACCTGGTCATTTTTCAATCAGACTTCAGACTGATGCCAAACCAAGTCTTTGAGCAGCCCTGCTTGCACCTTAGGACATAGGAGTGATAAATGTTAAGCACGAGAGGCGGCAGCTAGATCCCTCAAATATAAAGAATACTAGACTCAGTTACCACGAAAATAAAGAACCCGAGTACAGGAAAAATTACAAATAGCTGGTAATTAGGGATGTACTTCTTGCTCGCCAAATTAGAGGCCAATATTCAAAGAAACAATTGTAACATTCCACAAAGATTGCGATCTTCCTCTTCAATAAATTGGACCAAAAGGAGAGGGGAAGAGGTTAAAGAGCAAGACAAAAATTTGCTGTTTGTACTGTACAACTCTGTACACTGCAATAAATCAAAGAATGACAGCTACGCAGATACAAATTAAAGAATAAAAGGAAAGCAAGCTAGGATCAACTCAACACACCAAGCAACCAACCAAAACATTCAACTTACAGAAAAAGCAAAAAGAAAACTGAAATCAAAAGAATGAAATGAATATGAAACAACAATAAGCAAAAAAGCTTTATGATGTACATCTTACTACCAAAGTAGAGCCCATTTTTTCTCCATGGATTGCCTTCAACAACGACACAAACTTCAACAAATTATCTCTAGAGAACCACTGAAGCTTCAATTTAATAGATCTTGAAATCTGATTTCTGTCATTCACAACATGAAGGTTAGCGTGGGTAGATTGGTGGAATTCTGACATTAGACGTTCCAGAACTAATGTCACGCAGAAGCGCTCTTTAACATCAATAACCTGGAATTAGTCAACATTATGTCATTAAATCATAAATTCCCAGAAAAATGATAGAAGAGTAAGAAGAAAGAACAGGGAAAACACCATACCAAGGAGAGGCGTGACCACGGATGGAGCCAGAAAAAAGTACAGGGGAAAAATCAGAGTTTCTAAATATTTTGACTATAATTTTTTGGGGACAACAGTGTAACATAAGCCTATATATATAGATAGGCCAACAAATTTTTGGGGGGGTTGCCAGTACCTAGCTCCATCCTTGGGTGTGACCAAAGGAAGATGTTTCTTTTTTTTTTTTCTATTTCATTTCCTTTCCCTTTTTTTCCAAATAAAGTACTTAACATTTCATTTTATGCTCGTTTTCTGCCCTGAGAATAAGCCCCAAGACATACAGGAATTATGATGGGGGCAGAAGACATCAAGAATTCAAACCCGGTAGATGTGTGCATTTTAGTGGGTATTTTCTACGTTAAGAACTTCTAAAAGAAAGGCACATGCCTAAATAAATTCAAGGATATTGTGAATTTTAAATCAATTTCACTCCCGAAGCCTACAAAGGCCTCCTGCAATGTCCATAAATTGCTATCTGCAGTAAGTTTTATTACTGAAGCAAATTTGTATACCTGAAGAATGACCTAATTTAAACATGCCAATTTACCAGTTTGACTGAAGAATAAGGGAGATAGAGGGAAAAAAGAAGTGCTGACATTTACCCCACTCAGACAAAGATTCAAAGCACTTATAAATGTAGCCAATACTGTTAAGGAATAACAGAACTTACTGCCTCACAAATGTCAGTAATTAGGCAACAAGAGTCAATTCTGAAATACGGTGATAGAGATGAATCTGAGGAAAATAAGCAGAATTGGGTCACATCCTCAATGCACAAAAGCACATATCCCCCAGTCACAAACAGTGATCTTGAAAGCCATGATTCGTCTGAAGGATAAACAAGTAACAAAAGGTCACCTACTCACCTTTACGTTTGTACACTAATAAGCATGTTTTTACATTGAATTTTTCCATTTGAAGTGACACCATAAGTTTAAACAAATATTTTCAGATCTTGTACTGGTACCACTAAAAACCCGCATAGTATCTAATACCTTTGAGAGGCATTGTTTATATAGCACTCGGAGAACCATGGTTTACCTTACCATAACCATGCACTCACAGTAGTTTATAACGAGAGTGAAGCATTGCTCTAGACAGACATCTAAAAACACAATCTATTTCTCAAATCGGTGTTTTAAACTAGCTTCTAGAAAGTTCCCTTAACATCAGTTTTTAGAGTTCTAGATAAGTTAGTCTTCTGGAAGTTTGGGGTTAAAGTTAACAATATAAAAACCAATAAAGATATACATTGCCAGTAGCATAAAAAGAAAACAAAGCTATAATTTGAAAAGCTTGGAAAAGTAAGCATACCTTTGCCGTTGTTACAACAAGCAAGCACCATTGCATACTGATAAATGCTCAAATTGGAACCACCACATATTTGGTTGTCAAACAATTCAACCTGAACCTGCTCCAAACTGCCATTTATATTTCCAAAACCCAACTCTATATTAAAGCAGGAAAATAATTGACACCAAAAAAAAAAAAAAAGAAGGTAAAATCTATAGCACATTTTTCAGTGAAATCCAAATTAATTCAATACAAATTTGTGTACAAAGTTTTTATTTCAGTTATTTGGACAAAAATATAGGCACACAATCTCAGGTTCGGCGCCAAAAGGTATAGGGCACTACATATATCACCTTCTCATTGAGCATCTATCATTTTCTTCACAAGAACCAGAAAGTTGCAAGGTCTCTAGTAGCTCTCTTGACCTCTGTATGCTCCTTGTAATGAAAAGGTATGTTTCACCACTTTCAAAATTCACCCTGCCAAATCAGTAACATACACTTCAAATGCCATACATTTAAAAAAAATGAACAGTTCTTTAGTTCTTTTGAGCACACAAAGTCACAAACCTTAACACCTGAAGTCCCATCCCAACAAGCACCTCACAAACTTCTTCTGCCTTGTGGCAACTCAATAAACTCAGATGACTTCCTGAACAGCATCAAAAAATGCAGTGCTTAATTGTCTAAGCATGTGAAATATGGATGAGATGTTGATTTTACTAATTTTATGGAAGGTCTGATATGCAGAGAAATGGAATTTGGACTTCTACGTTTAACTCCACTCAACTCCTGTGCCTCAACTAAATCTCCTCCTTAAGAAATCTGAACATGCTTTTAAAGTCTCTAAAGACATTCGAATGAAGATGTGAACTCAAATTGAAGTTCCTCCGCTGAAAAAAGAGAAGGTGCTCAGCCTAACCTGACTCGTCATCAGCATCGGTGATTAGTAGCAAATAGAGCTTCAAATGGCTGCTAAGTATCACTGCAACTTCCCTACACCGGAACAAAGCAACATTACACATGCTATCATGGGAAATCATGCTCTGAAACCATGATGTTCGCAACAACCATGGTTGGAAATTGAATATGAAATGTCAATATAAAATATAAAATCAGTATCAAGTCACACTATCCATAAGCTACAAATAGTAAAACTCATTCTTCAAACTCGGATCAATGCACAAAACCCATACCTGGTTAACATGAAAAGATGACATATATTTTATTAGCAAAAGAATAAATAAGTTACAAGGGTAAACGAATATTGTGGCTACTTAGCAGGTAAAAAGAGTGTTCTCCAAATCCAGTAAAACATGAACAGCTCATGTTTAAAAAGAATGAGATGCCTAATAGATAGAGAGTAGAATGAATAAATATGAGAAATAGTCGGCCAACATCCTATGGAAAGCACATACTTACATACATACATACATAGCGTATTACAGTATAGTTGATGAAGGTTACCTTTCCTGGTAGGTAGAATCCCTCTGAAGGACAGAATTACAGCATACACAACGGCTACAAATTTCATGAGCTTCTGAATCAGCAATATGTGTATTGAAATAAGTAACAATCACATCATTGCCAACTTGGGTAGACAACTCAGAAGCATCATCAGCAGGAAGTATTCTCTTGAAATTTGCAAACGTTTGATCCTTTCCCACAATTTCAGAGCCCTCTGCATGAGAAACTAGCTTACTTTGCTCTTGTTTAAATTCACTTTCATAATGACATGCATTGTCTGAACTCTCTTCTAAGATTGAAATAAATCTTTTCTTGGCTTTCTTTCTGTTTTTTCTAAGCCCTAGCAGATCAGCATGTTGGTTAACAAAACAAGCACTCTCACTGCTGTCAGCACCAGCAGCAAAATCGCTGGAACATTGTTTAGAAGTTTGATCAGCAGAAAAATCAGACGAATGAATGCCATTCTCTCTTCCAGGGCTTTGATAATTAAGAATGTCCTTGGGTAGATTTAGTGATATACGCTCATTAACACCCCTGGTCACATAGTCTTTATTACAGAAATTATCAATTTCAAGCACTGATTGATCATATCCAGAGTAGTCAACTTCACTACAGCTAGTGTTGCTATCAGAAGATGCTACTGAAAAGGAGCCTGCAGAGAGCTGCAAAATTTCCTCCACCAAGTTTTGCCGACGTTGAAGGAGGTCTTCTTGAAAGTGAGGAGGAGATGAGGGGCAAACAGATGAGTGAGTTCCAGATATGTCATCAATTGTTGTCAGTGGCGATAAGTCACCTTTTTCAGCCATTCTATGTGCTTCTTGATTAGTATAGGTATCAAAATGGGAACCTCTAGAGCGTGAGAATGCACTACTAATCCCTTTCAAGGAATGAGATTTAAGATGGTCCTGATCCACTCCCCCTAAGTCATTAAGAGAAGCCCCACTAGCATTACCAAGCAAACCTCTACTTTCAAAGTAATGCTGACTAAGAACACTAGCAGAAGTATCTACAAAAGAACTATCAGACTCTACAATATTCAAACTACTTTCATCTCCAGAGGCTAGAACAGAGTCAGAGGCATATCTTGAGACTTCAACTGTTTGCCCCTGGTCTGGCCTCTTTTTTATATTCTCTCTCCGAGGATGCAATTTAGGTTTTCCTTCTTTGCTGCTTTCCACAAATCTACCAGAATCAATATCCATCCACTCCTTAAATTCCCGCAACCAAAGAATAGAACGCTCTTTCTTCATATGCTCAACTTTATTCATTAAATCCACTATTTCAGCTTCACCATCAGATAAATCACAATCATCTCGACTTCGAGCATCATTCCCACATGACACAGACTCCTCGTCAGACAATATGCTAGTGATATCCTCTTCATTCTCAATACAGGCAAGACGTGAAGCTTTCCTCTGCTTGTTCAAAAAAAACAGAAAGAAAAAGGAAAACCGTAATAAAGTGGAATGTTCATCTCCATATAGGCCAAAACTGATATTAATTATTTTTCAAAAGAAAATGAGACACATATCCCATAAAACTGATCTCTCAAGTCTCACCTTCATTTTAGAAACGTGAGCATTTAGCACCAAGCTTAAAATGAAATAAAAACTTGAGTTGACAATTTTCATTTATACAAATATAGAATCATATTGCCCAAAGAAATACACAAACAAATTCACTATTTACCTACCCTTCTATTTAATGTTTCCTGCTCTGCATCCTCATCTTTTGCAGGCAAATAAACCCCAAAGCTGGAAGGTCTCCTATGCTTGCTGGCAATAATTAGTCGTCTCTTCCAATAATCTTTGGTATTAATTTCCTTGTCATCTAATTTCAGCTAATCAGCACATAAAAGAACAGATTGAAATTTAATGAGAATAAAGCCAGTAGGTGAATATGCTCAAGTACAGAGATACTTCAAGCATCATAAGTTAATAATAACTAAAGAAGAAACCATGAGTAGAAAAAAAATTCCAAAATGAAATATTACATGAAACAGATAAGACAGATAGACACTTTAACATGTATACTTATTACTTGCGTATACTCAAACCATAACTTACTTTTTCAGGGAAGGTGAAGAAGCTGAATACTTGTGCCCTATACCATCGAGCACAGCACAAAGGATTTCCTTCCAGCCACAAGCTTTGAAGAACCGGAAGCCCAGTGAGGAACTGTAGCTCTGAAAAATTGGAAATAATATTGTAGGAAACGTCAAGTCCTTCAAGTGACTTCAACTTCTCAATCCCACGCAAAGTAGTTAGTGCATTGTTTCTCAAGACTAGTTTAACAATATGAAAGGAAACCTGAATGATCCAACAAAAATGGTATGAGCCCAGAGCCAATCCCCAAATAAAGGGTATGCATTAAAAGCAAAGGTTAAAGAATTTCTCCAACAAATTTCTTCCAACAGGAAGCAATATAAGTAAATGTCTAGCAGAACTAACATACTTTATAATTTAACAGGTCTTTTAAGTTGTTTCATATCCATCTCCAAGAACGATAGTCTTGGACCAACAGTCTTCTATTTTCAAACCCCAAACATCAACATATATTCCATCAATACTGTATCCACAATAATATTATCTTAAGAAAACCTAGTTGTTCTTTACATGCACAGTGAAATTACAAGTGATATCATTACTTTCAACATCCAGAAACCCGATCAAATTGCGGAATTGAAAGAAGATTCTCAAAATAAATATAGCCGGGGAACATTTTGTTCACTCAAAAGATCCGACAGAAGTAATGACCCAACAAAAGAGCTAATCAAAATGGAAAGACTAGCACCATTTCTACTCTACTGTGTGGTGGCATGTTCAAATCCACTCCATGTATGCTTATACCCAATGTGATCAACATGGAAACAAAGGATATATCATACAACCCTTCCAGTAATTTCCTTTTTCCCACTGTAATGATATTCTGAATTCATGGTGCATTTGCAAGTTTTATTTTTCCAACTCAGCAAGATTGAAAGCCCGTCATCGTGCCAGTACGCAATCAGGTTGACCCCTGAATACTCTCAATAACATCCAATGGCAGACCAATCCCACTTTGTTCAACCTTTTCCACGTCCTAAGAGATTCATAATTTCTCAACTAGATTATCCATCATGAGGTTGACAGCAGCTCAACCTCATTATGAAATAGAGAAACACATCCCCAAGTTAGAGCATCAAATTGAATAAAACTTTCCTGGGAAGATATCTAAATTCCATCAGTTGAAAACAACTTGACTCTCCCCGCCCCAACGATTAAACAAAAAACAGAGGAATTACAAGGGTCCTGTTGAAGTTGCCGACGATGAATGTTTGCTGTTAAGTTTCAAATACGATTAAACGAAAAGTAAAACTAAAAACGCCCTCAGGTTACCATAATACTAAAACATTTCACCATTCACTTTCATACCTATATCCTATAGAAAAACAAGATATTAATATTTATAACGAGCACCAGACTGCCTTCCACAGAAACCACGCATAGATTTCTCCATGCAATCATCAAGAAAATAAATATTTTCACCAAGTACCTCATTGAAAGGCGCAATTGTTCTCAGGTGATTGAAACCAAGGTCCAAGTGCTTCAATTTTGTACACTTACGAAGATTATCTACCTTAGCAAACTTGTTCCTGCTAAGGTCAAGCGTTTCAACTGCAGGAAGAAGCTGCAAAGACTCATCCATGAGAACCAAACCATTGCATGCACAAGAGACAAACGACAACCGGTTCCACTGCGGAGAATTCTTAATTTCCGCTATCCTGCTTGCAAATATATGCCGCAGCGCATCCTAGCATATAGGAAATTCCAACATTCAATCCACTATGACGAAAAGAAATTACACATAATGAGATAATTATCAACTTTCTAACGCAGAAGCACTTGAAATGGGAAACAAGTACACTTTACAAGTAATAGCCATGAAAATAGTCTATGCTTCATAGAATTCAGAACGGGGGGCGGGGCAGAGAAATGAGCAAGCAAACCGTGGAATTATGACAAATGATTTTCTCGAGTGTGTGCCTTAGCTCAAGCAACCCTTTAGCCGCCGAAGTGGACAAGTCACTTCCCCGGAGCTCCAACACTTTCAACCGCCCAAAAGACAAGAAAGACAAGGGCGTGGGATCCCTGGCAGGCGGTGGCAAGACAGAAACAACTTTCAGCGAGGTAAGAAGGCGAAGAATCCGACGGAGTTGCTCCAGAGCGCGGTGATCACCGAGGTCGGAGACATAAGCTCGCAAATAGTCAACAGGTGCCCCGGCAAGAAGGCTCTCAACCTCATGCAAGGCCTCAAGCCTAGATTGAACATAGTGAAGCCCAGCGGGGTTAAGCTTCAACACCAGAGTTCCTTCAATCAGAGGACCAGCTTGTTCGTCCACGAACTTCACCAACTTCTCCAGGTACCGATCTCCAGTTGCAATCGCCATTTCAATACAGAGAGGAGTCAATCCAATCCCTTGAGACCTCAAGGTCGAATCAGGGTTTTGGGATAGAAAACAGAACCCGCCAACTCCATGGGAAAGACTTGTGCAAAGTGAAACATAGACAAAAAGAGAGAGATGCAGAAGAACGGATGGAAATAACTACGCAGAGAGAACAGAGAACTCTAGGGGCGAAAGAATTTCACAACAAAAATGGGAGGAGTGAGAGAAAAAATGGTGGTTTGGGAGGGATCGACGAAAAGGAAGAAACGGCCATGGGTACGGCTTTTGAGGGTGATAGAGAAAGAGAGAGGCTAGGGATGTGATGTAATGTAACGTAATCATTAAGTCAAGCAGAGGGCATCTCATCAAAGATTCAAGATCATCATCATCATCAGGAATTAGTCAATTGATGGGAGACCTCATTGTAACAGTGAATATTTTTATTACTGTAATGAAAATTTATTAGTGCTCTGAATCTATTAACAATAACAAGTTATTTTCAGTGTATTTTATATAAATTAAAAAAATCTTAAATTTTATTATTCTGATTTAAAATTTAATAATTTAATAATTTTATGTTTTTTAATATACATTATTTTTAATACAAGCAAAATTAAAATAATAATAAATAAGAAATAAAATTATATATTTATATAAAAGAATTTTTTGATATCCTATAAATAGGATAAAAAATATGTTGCCTAAATAGGAGTAAATCTTTCAAACATAAAATTAAGAATTCAAGAATTGTGGTAAAGGACACGTGGCAAGCATGCATTCTCCTAAGTGCCCATACGCCGCATGTTCAGTTTCTTTACTCCCGAGGACAGGTACCATACAATCTTTCTAGCCATCAACGTACAAGTCTATTGTTACAAATAGAAAAATAAAAATTAAAAAATATGCACAACATATTATATTTCTTCTTTAATTTTGTAACATGGGCATCAAACTAAATTTTGCGATGAAACTAGATTTCTTTCTATATTATGATGTATGAGTTGGACAATAAATTAAAAACTACTAACATTTAGCTTAGAAATGTGTAAAAAATTGAAGAAATTAAGCTACGATGGCACGAAATCTATTTATTGCTTATAAATACTTCAATTTTATAGGTTTTATATTATGTATTAATATTGATGTTATGTTGACCTATTGTTTTTCAACTTCCATAACTTCGATTTCTATTGATTGTAAAAAATGGATCGGTTTGAAATATAAGATAGTAGTATGGTTTAAAAAAAAAAAAAGAAATATGTAAGATAGTAGTAGTAATTATTAAATAGACAGATTGTGGGGAGCAAGGGCCAGATCTATTACTAAGGCCGCATCACGTGCCCTTGCTGCTGCAGGCGCTACTAACCAACATGTGCCACCCTGTACAATGATTTTCAAGTCCCAAATGACAGTTGGCTTTTAGCAAATTCCACAAGTTTCCAAATAAATAAATAAATAATAATACCTTCCCGATATTGTTCTTTTCCTCCCTGTTTTCTTCTGCTTTCTTCCAAAATTGCAAAAGAGTACTTCCTCTACTTGGAAGCACTTGTTGGACCAACCACTCCGTTGGAAGTTGTTCTCCATTTTGTTGACTATCTTAAAGAGAGAGAGATTCTTTCATCCTATTCAAACATTTTTCCAATTAAAATCAAAGACATAAAAAAAATTTTGAATCAATTTTTTTTTTTTGATAAAATTTAACTACTTGTTTCTTATTCTATTTGCTTGTATTCTTGGCGCGCGCCCAGGAATTTGAATGGTCTCTTCTGTTGGTAGTTTGGGCCTTGAATATGGATAAGCATGAAGCTACCATAAAGAAAATCCGTTAACGCAGTTTATTTATTTATTTATTTATTCTTGGCCTTACATTCTTAAAAAATTTGCATGCTTTTGTTCAATTATTGCTTGAGGTGCCCACTACACCTGGCTTTTCAGGGACGTATGAATATATGCTGAAGGTGAAGTGTGGTATCAAATTATGAAGTAGCAACAATTTCGACCTCTGGACTGTCATTATCAGAAAATGGAGGGCTATAAGTCACTTTCTCATAACACAATCATAGAGGAACATATTCAGGCCAAAAAGAAAAAGAAAAAACATCATTGAGGAGCATCAAATATTACCTTTACTTCATCACACAAGAATTTCAATTCCACGATTGTTCCCACTTGCCCTTCCCTGTTTTGCATGTGCCTGCTTACGACAGCTATCGAGTGCTATTGCAGACATCAGAGCAAAGAGTTCTTCTGAACTCTGGCTTCTCACAGAAACCACCATTGTGGAGAAAGAATGCAGATGAAGAAATTACTTCAAATTGTTGCATAGTAGGGACTATTGGGATGGGTGTGTGCGATGGGTGGATATGCGATCCCCCTCTCCTAATTGTTAAATTTAAAAAAAAAAAACAGTGAAATTTATATAGTAAAAAATTTCTCGTGGCTTAAGATGTGGAGAACGGACAGAAAATATGTGAACAAAGCAAAGATAAAGGGCAACCTTGCCACTTGCGTCCTCCATCATTGCTAGAATATGCAATGTAAAGCAATATAATCCTTCATAACTTTCAGGATTTCTTACGTATGGGAATTTCTTACAATGGATTTCGAAAGTTAATCCATTTTTCATGTCTGTGGGTATGTGAAGCAGGCATAACCAAAATCCATCTGAACTAGGTTGTCCATACAGCTTAAAATTACAGCCCCAATTTCTGCGGTAAAAGTTTACTTTATATATACAGACTAGTTACTTCGATTCACCTGTTCTCCACCAGCGCTGCGTCTCTTCTCTTCCTCAACTTGTTCAAGTAGTGCTTCTAGCTCTGCTTCTGTTAGGCCCTCTAATCTTTTCTGCGGATTCAGAGGTTACAACATGAATACATGAGATTCAGTTTTGAGTCATTTGTGGACAGGGAAAAATTCTGGGTCATCATCCAGAAAAGTAAAATATAAGTGAAATCTCATCCAAGGGAGTGCTACTGTTTTCAGATTGATATTTGTCAACAATAACTGAAGATATATCCAACATCCAATCATCTTATTACAAAGACATATCAAGACTGTAAAGAAACTAATAAGAAGCCGGGAATTCACTCATCTTAGTCCCTAGCACAACAAAGTAACACAATTTTCCACATTCATGAACAGGGCTTGCGGCTTCATTAATCTAAGCACAGAACGGTTTAAAAATAACTTACCATAAATTGCAACATGCTTCAAATGACGAATAAAAATCAACGAGAAGTGCCAAAGAAAATTTAACTAGCACATAATTATACACTATGTTGTGCGATGTAATCGGGAGGTAGCAAATTAGACTAATGAAGTAGACAATCAATACCAGATATGCAATTGAAGACCTTATCTTGTGGCAAATCATATGTCTTAGCTAGAAACAATAGAAAAAAGAGAAGCTCTCGTCATGTTGTCTACCTCCATCACTTTGTATTCATAGTCCCGTAATTGTTGAGCGTATGTCATCTCCTTGTTTGAAACTCTAAAGATATATGTTGAGATCCATCCAACTGTGAGTCCCAAAACCAGTACCAACTGAACCACATTCCCAGCTTGCAGTGGATCCACTCCTACAAACTGCATAAAACATGGCAAAAATAGTTTCCAGAGTAGGATCAATGTGTTATTGCTGACATGGTCTCCATCATATCAAAGGAGAAAACAATTATAGGAATCAACAAGTCACACTGCAAGTTTAATTATTTCATAATGCATCTGATTTATTTGTCAAGAGCCATCTAAATACAATCTCATTCTTATACCAGAGCTGTGGGGTTGAAGGAAGTCATGGGATAAGATAAGATGGAAAATGCATACCAATGATTGCATTACAGGAGGAGCACAAAAAAGAAGGTACCTCTAATCCACTTTTTAAGCCAATGCCTAGGACAGTAACTCCAAGCCCAATTAATAGAACATCCTTTCTCGTATATCCAAATGGTGTCTTCTGTAAGATGCAAAAGATATAAGTACAATTTGTCATTCCAAAATTTACTAGTTAAATAATGGGAGGTTGCAAAGTAACTAGATCATTTCAATTTGAGTATTATGTGATTAAAATAACAATCGTCTTCTATGAACCAAGTGTTCATCCCATTTTCCATGTATTGATCCTATTTCAACAATCAACACAAAACCATTATTACATCACATGGAAATTGCACGGGACGACCCCCGCTTAACAATTTGAACAAATATGGAAGGCAATACTCTAGACCCAATTCTTGTAGATATACAAGGCAGAGGAGAAGCCTCCAAGGAAATATAGTTATGCTCACTTTCATCCATCTAAAAAGGATGAATTACTATGCCAGTGGCCATATTCAGTCAAGTGTCACAGGAGAACCATTGTAGTTTTTGATACATGCCTCTGTCTGATTAGATGGGGCATCATCACTTCCACTACAATTTAAAGAACTGCCACTTCTGGGGACAAAGAAGCCCTCATTCTTCATAAAATTCCCACTAAAGCTCTTTTCTGATGAAGAAAAAAACTTCTTTCCATACAAGCATCGAGAAATTATTGTTCCTGAAATGTTTCAGTTTAAAAAGTGTCATAATCAGAGATACAGAAAGTCCTCTAAGAGAAGAAATCATAATCAGTGAAGAAAATGTGATGTTCCATTCATAAAAAATCTAGAATAGACACTAACACTTGGCAGGTCGTCAAGTTCAACACAATCGAATGCTACGGCATTACAGGTCAACCAACTCTCAAATAAGTCATGATTGCTTGTGAATCATTCAAAATGTTAAGCATTCAAGCTAATAGTACAAATGTTCCAAAAATTTAGCTCCTTACCATTATTTCTCAATGTCCATACCTGGCCAACAGATAGACTTTCAATCAAGATTGTTGCACACCTAATTATATAATCACAAGTATAATGCCTTTTCCAGTAGTCTAGACTCTAAGATTCCCTTTAGAACAGTCTAAGAATATTTTCAACTAAAGGAAGTTCAGTTTTCTATAATATCCCATATTATTCTACTCATTACCGTTTGATAGAGTTGATTTTCCTTTTTGGCACGGAGGTACAAAATGCTATCAATTATTACAATAAACAACAGGAGAGAAATCTTATACATTATGCATAAATAAATGGGAAAATTACAGTTCACTTCCTGGTGACAAACACCATATCGTGCATATATAATTTGTCGTATTGTATCTACGGTAAGGGAATATCAGTTAACAGGCACTGGCAATTTAAACTCATATGAAGATGAATGTCAAGGATATTTTAGTAATTTGACGTGGCTAAAATTGAATTTGACAGCCAATTTAGACTGTAGGGGTCTTATTCTATAGTTCTAGTGGTACTAATGTATCATGAGAAAATTGCAACTTTTTATAGATAGGGATGAACATTACACTTGGAAGCAAGAGGTCAAGGAATCCCTGCCATTTACATGGAATTCACATCTTATCACTATACTTATCATCTTTTTCCCTTTTTTACTTTTTTGGTCTCCTCTCTTCGAATATATCATATATATATATATATATATATATATATATAATGATACTCACTTTCGTGAATGCAGGTGATTCAGGTTATTGGAATCCCTTTCATGCATGCATACCTTCAATAGCGAATGACACCAAAGAATGTGACTACGTACTGGAATTCATATTATTATGACATAATTCTTTTCTTTTCTCTCAATTTCTCTCTTGAATACACGAAAAAAGTGGATGTAGGCAAGGCAATACAATGTTTTTAAAATTTAATAAAAATACAGCAGGGTGACTGAATTGCTTTCGTGAAAGTCTTCGAACTCCACAATTCACATTGTTTTGGAGAAAGATGCCCCTTAGACCACAAAATTGAGGCACCACAAGTAATTGAAGAATAAGGCAAGAACCAATCGCCACACCTAAAATGAAGTATCTGAAGTATGAAAATAGTAGCCTACTTCATTGCTTCTCATGTTCAAAAGAAGTCGGTTTCAAATGGAACTGCCCAAAATTTGTACTACTTTACAAACCCAACACAACATTAAACAATAAGTAATTAAGTAACTGACCTCTCCTGAAACATCTAGACGCTGTTCTTCCGGGATGCAAGTAGGGCAAAGCAGAAATTCCCGCATAGGGAATCGCTGTTTTTTCTAATAAAATGCGGCAAGTCGCATTGCCGTGTGGAACAGAAGCCATTCCTGTCAACAATACCGATCACTTTTTTAAAGAAAATTTACTCATGTGCACCAACGAACTATATCGCTAAATTCCAACTGAAGTCAATGAAGAAAAATTAACTCAAAAGGCAGCCTTAGCTCAAACATAGCTTTGTAGTTGCTTTAGAGAGTAACGAGTATTAATTAATTCATCCAACGAAAAAGGGGGAAAAAAAAAAACAGTAATTATGGAAACAAGCATGGAATCAAATATGGGAAAGCATAAAGCACAAACATTTACGAAGGGATTACCTGGCGGAGCGAGTGGAAGCAACCGCAGAGATGAGTGGAGGCCGTTAATGCAGTGGAGATGAGGTATTTCGTTAATCTCTCTTTGCACGCCCGTCAACGTGTCCGTCTCGGCTCAGTTGGGTCCCACTAGAAATAGGGGAAATGGCACTAAAGTCCTGCAAAAGGGTAAATAATTAGAATCTGAAATACGACTGCACAATTAGGAAAATTAATTTCTGGTTTGGAATTGATGTGCAGGGGTTTCAAGTCTTTCTAATAAGAGAGAATTATAACCAAATCTCACATTAAAAAAATTACTAAAAGATCTTAATAATATCCTGAACAGTCTATAATACCAAGTCTTATCATAGAAAATAACAACTTCTGAGATATATTTTGTAATTTTTTTCCTTCCATAAAACTTGATTGTAATTCTCCTTTCTAATAATGGTAGACTTTTTGCTAATACGTGGTTTCTTTCTTCTACCATCATGAGCTTGAATTGGCTATGAAAATGTCCAAATTTGACGGTTTTAAAATTAAAAATCAACTTTGATTCGTTATACTAGTCCATTTTACAAGGACTAGACTCAATTTCTGTTAATAAAAATAATTTGGATGTCATGATTTTTTATATGTATAAACTCTGAGATTTTGACATGACCTAATTTATAATTTTATTGTATCCTTGCATCTTTTATACGTGGGCTTACAATTCCCCCGGGGGGGGGGGAGAAAGACAAGTTGATCCGTTTATCTTATGGAGTAGTTCCAGGGAGTTTATGGGGTCTTGCTCTGAATGGCACAAAAGCCCAAAGGTTCCAAGTTAGGCCCAAAAATACAAGCCGAAACACATAGATCATTCCTTTTCTTTTTTGATTGGATCATTCTCAATATACATAATTTGGCCCAAAAAAAATCTTTTTTTTAGTATGTGTTTTTCAAAAATCGATAGGAGGATACTATTTTGGCCCAAAAAAAGGAGAATACTACTCTTATACGAAAAAATTGACAAAGTTATCTCAATATATTAATGTAAAATTTAAGTAACATCAAATTTTGACAAATTGAAGTGTGAAAGTCACTCTAATTAAGATACTAGTGTCATCAAATATATACTACCTCTGGTCCTTAATATAAGACCTTATTTGACTTTTATTTTAATCTTAAATATAAGATCCCAATCAATTTTGTCTCTCATATTTATACATTTTTTCCCAAAGTAATCTTTTTAACAATGGTAGTTCTAGCCAATACACTTGATTAATAAGGATATTTTAGGAAAGACAACACTTATTTGTTACAAATAACTAACTTAACTTCTTTCCTTAATCTCTTCAAGTTAGTCAACTAGCTCTTATAATTAGGACTTGAGGTAGTATACAGTTAACTTATGTATTTATATATGATATCGGATTTGGACGAAAACACATTATTTACACGTTATCCTAGACAAAACATCACCCCACAATCTGATTGTATAAATATTCTGGCAAAAAAAAAAACCTGATCGTATAACTATATAGGTTTTGGATGTATATAAACTTCAAATAAATCATACTATCATTCATGATTTCTGAAAAGTTTAGTTTTTTTTTTTTAATTCAACGAATGTCTTTAATGTGAATGATTTGGGAGGCAAGAACTGAATTATTGTGTCTTAAAGGTCCATTAACATGACAAAATGTTGCAACATGTAGCTATAAACCCATGTAATCCAAAATTGTGGCGGCTTTTGAATCAGAATGTGAAGTGGGCTTCTTGGTTGGTTAATAATATGTTAAATTGTTGATGCTGGGTATGCAAGCAACAAGTAGACGTATGTGCTAGGCTAGCACTCATCATTTCCTTTCGGATGATTGACAAGACATGAGCAACATAAGACCTACCAAATCTATTTGACAACTAATTAATCATTAATTTGCCAGAATTCTTAATCATTATTTAGTTCCCCCTCTTTTATGGTCAAGATTCTTCATTTATTACCTAAGCAGGCAGCCTCTCTTTTTTTTAAAATTCCTTTTTCAAAACATTTTTAAAAAAAACGGGGTTTGGAAAAAGGGAAAATTGCAAATAAAGACCCCTCAATATATAAAATAGCAATCAGGGACCCTGAATTTGAAAAATTGCTCACAAGGACCCGGTCTCAATTTGCAATTATGAAATCATGGCCAAATTACCAAAATACCCCTCTTTAACTTTTTTTTCAAAAAAGAACACCCCTGCCTCGCCAAAATCCGGCCGCCGGCGGCCAGATTCCGGCGGCCTTCCTTTATTATTTTTTTTGAAACTGTTTTTTTTTTTTAAAAATTGGGGGGAAGTGAGGTTGGGGGGATTTGATCTCCCAACTTCATGCTTCCCAAAATTAGGAATGACCATTGAGCCAACAAATTTTTGCTAACATCATAATACAAAAAAAAATATAAGTTAACTCATTTACTCTTGTTCCAGGTGATAACAAGAATAGATTTGAAAACAACAAGTTCTGATTATAAAATAACAAGTCTGGGATTAAAATTTAACAACACGTTTTTTTTTATAACAACACACTCTGTTGCAGGTGATAACAACAATACATTTGAAAATAACAAGTTCTGATTATAAAATAACAAGTCTGGGATAAAAATTTAATAACACGTTTTTTTTATAACAACTTTTTCAGGTGATAACAACAATACATTTGGAAATAACAAGTTCTGATTATAAAATAACAAGTCTAGAATTAAAATTTAAGAGCACCCTTTTTTTTTATATAACAACACATTTTATTCCAAGTGATAACAACAATACATTTGAAAATAACAAGTTCTGATTATAAAATAACAAGTTTGGGATAAAAATTTAACAACACGTTTTTTTTATAACAACACACTCTTTTTCAGGTGATAACAACAATACATTTGGAAATAACAGGTTCTGATTATAAAATAACAAGTCCGGAATTAAAATTTAAGAGCACCCTTTTTTATATAACAACACATTTTATTTCAAGTGATAACAACAATACATTTGAAAATAACAAGTTCTAATTATAAAATAAGAAATCTAAAATTAAAATTTAACAACACATTTTTTTATAACAATTAATTATTTTATACTTTTGAAAAATAAATTATTTATAACTTATAATTAAAAAGTATTTTAAATCTATTTAATTTGCTAAAAAAATAATTTTTATCTCCAATTTATAATCAAAACTTGAAGTGTAATTTATTACAGATTAAAAATACTTTTTTATTGTTCAAATTTATAAATAAAATTTAGAGAAAATGACAACACACTTTTTTATTTTTTTTTAAAAAAATTTTTAATCTATATATCTACACAACTCATTATAAATCAAACTACTTCTTATAAATTATAAATAGTATAATTTATTGTAGATTAAAAATACTTTTTGATTGCTTAAATTTATAAATGAAATTTATCTCTAATTTATAATTAAAAATAATATTTTTTTCTTTAAATATTAAAATTTATTATTAAGTATTTAAATATTATAGTATAATTTATTGTAGATTAAAAATACTTTTTGATTGCTTAAATTTATAAATAAAATTTATCTCTAATTTATAATTAAAAATACTATTTTTTTTCTTTAAATATAAAAACTATTTTTAATATTTAAAGAATGAAATAATAAATTATACTATAATATTTAAATACTTAATAATAAATTTTAATATTTAAAGAATGAAATAATATAAAAATATTATAATGAGTTGTATAGATATATAGATTAAAAAATTTTTAAAAAAAATTAAAAAAGTGTGTTGTCATTTTCCCTAAATTTTATTTATAAATTTGAACAATAAAAAAGTATTTTTAATCTATAATAAATTACACTTCAAGTTTTGATTATAAATTGGAGATAAAAATTATTTTTTAGCAAATTAAATAGATTTAAAATACTTTTTATAAGTTATAAATAATTTATTTTTCAAAAGTATAAAATAATTAATTGTTATAAAAAAATGTGTTGTTAAATTTTAATTTAGATTTCTTATTTTATAATCAGAACTTGTTATTTTCAAATGTATTGTTGTTATCACTTGGAATAAAATGTGTTGTTATATAAAAAAAAGGGTGCTCTTAAATTTTAATTCCAGACTTGTTATTTTATAATCAGAACTTGTTATTTCCAAATGTATTGTTGTTATCACCTGAAAAAGAGTGTGTTGTTATAAAAAAAACGTGTTGTTAAATTTTTATCCCAGATTTGTTATTTTATAATCAGAACTTGTTATTTTCAAATGTATTGTTGTTATCACCTGCAACAGAGTGTGTTGTTATAAAAAAAAAACGTGTTGTTAAATTTTAATCCCAGACTTGTTATTTTATAATCAGAACTTGTTGTTTTCAAATCTATTCTTGTTATCACCTGGAACAAGAGTAAATGAGTTAACTTATATTTTTTTTGTATTATGATGTTAGCAAAAATTTGTTGGTTCAATGGTCATTTCTAATTTTGGGAAGCATGTCACTTCCCCTCAATTAAAAAAAAAAAACAGTTTAAAAAATAATAATAAGGAAGGCCGCCGGAATCCGGCCGCCGGCATCAGAGCTCCGGCAGCCGGCGACCGAGGTGGCAGAGCTCCGACTGCCGGAACTCCGGCGTCGGCAGCCGGATTTCGGCGAGGCAATGGTGTTTTTTTTGGAAAAAAAAATTAAAGAGGGGTATTTTGGTAATTTGACCATGATTTCATAATTGCAAATTGAAACCGGGTCCTTGTGAGCAATTTCTCAAATTCAGGGTCCCTGATTGCTATTTTATATATTGAGGGGTCTTTATTTACAATTTTTCCTTAGAAAAACTCCTATTCGTATGTACCAACCCGTTTCAGTGTCTGTTTTATGGATTTGCATTGGGTGCTCATCACGCTGATGAGCACCCAGTGCTCATCAGGATCTGGACCGTCCAGATCCGATCTGGACGGTCCAGATTTTATTTTATTTTTATTCTTTATTTTTTAAAAATAATTATTTTAATAGGTATAGAATAAAAATAAAGATAATCTTTTAACTATCATATTTTTAAAAAATAATTTTTTTTATTTTAAAATAATTATTTAAAAATATTAAATCTGGACCGTCCAGATTAGATCTGGACGGTCCAGATTTCTCATCACTTGATGAGCACCGAATGCAGGCCCCTGTTTTATCCGCCATATGGCTTATATAACGTTGTACTGTACATTGATTTGATTGTGACATGATTTGTTTTTATTATATCTTTTAATTATAAGATTTTATTTATAATCTATTAATTAGATTTTATAATTAGAATTGAAAGTTATACCAATTTAGTCCGGTGTTAAATTTTTGAACGTTTTATTTTTCCTAACAGTTTATAACAGAGAGAGCCAATTTTAAAGACTTGATAAATATTTTTTTTTACTCGAAGAAAAACTAAATGCTTGGGTGGGCAATTGGGTAGACAGTAAACACATGACTCGCCACACATAGCGGAGCGACATAGTCCCGAAGGCCTCCTAGCTATCACCAAGCGCTTGATTTAACTATAAAATATTACCAACAAAGTTTGTGATAACATAAGATATTAATCCCTACTAATGAATTAAAATTCTAATTCTGTTTAGTGAAGTATCTATATTTAGTTCTTGATAATATATCGAAACATTGTATCAATTTAACCAAATGTTTTAATTTAAGTTTTGGAAATGCGGCTATAATGCTAGATTAAACAATTCATGGGAGAACCTTATCATCAAATGTGATCCTACTTAACTTGATCTGAATATGAGTCCAAAAAAAAAAATAACTTGATCTGAATATATCATATTAAATCATCAGGTTAAAATGAGGTAGATTTAGTTACAGCTTACAAGAAACGAAGGGCTCTTTTAATCAAGTCACAGCTTACAAGAAACGAAGCAGCAAATGATTTGAATAAAATCTTAACTAAATGAATATAACTGATGAAGCAGAAGCAGAAGCAGAAGATAAAATCCGCCGCTAAAAAGATGAATAATGAAGGGGGGGGGGGAAATTGACGCCGAAGCACATGTCAAGTGAAGCTGAGTTCATGAACTTGATAAAATACTAATTCATGGGAGCAAGCTAGCATTGGATAGTGACAGATAGCGACCAAATACCAAATCGAAAAAGATTTGACATTTGCCACCACCCACATTAACGAGAAGGAGGAGGAGAAGATGATGATGGCCCTTTCACGTCTCCCAACAACACAAATATATATTCTTATTTATAATAAACAATACAATACTAAGAATTCCCAGCCATTAGGTGAAGAGTGAAGACGCCTCCTCCTTAATTTGCAAATAGAATAAAATCAAAGCAAATTGCTTCCTACCATATCTAATCATGAGTTTGGTGCTGTCCTTTTGTGACGTCTCACGTACTTAGTCTTATTTCCTTCCATCCCTCTCCATGTGCACCACTACAATTTCAATAAAGAAACTTTCTTACCCTCTCTCTCTTGCACACAATTTAACTAATTTTGAAATTCAAGGGGCAAATTGCACTCTAAGGCCCTGCTTTCTGAATATTTTATCTCAACAAGTCCTAAAATAGGCCAAGTTTGACAGGTTGGCCTTTTTCACCTCCTAAGATAGGAAATAGGATGTGATCTTCTAAGTGGGCGTAAAGGGCACAAGCTGTACGCTTCAGTGGTTACCAGAGACATATGGGTAGTATGTTTTTAAATAAAAGTCTTCCACTTTTCACATTAAAAAAATCTCTTCCAAAAACTTAATAAAATACTACCTCCGATTCTTAATATAAGATCTCGTTTAACTTTTATTTTGGTTCTAAATATAAGACCCCAATTTATTTTGTTTTTCATATTTTATGTATTTTTTTTCTAAAACAATCCTTCTAACAAGATAATTCTAGCTAATAAACTTGAGCCGCAAGAATATTTTAGAAAAAACAATATATATTTATTACAAATAACTAACTTAATTTCTTTCTTTAATCTCCTCAAATTAGTCAATTAACTCTTATAATTAGGATCGAAGGTAGCAATCTATAAATAAATATGTCAATCAATCCCATTATTTGAAATACTTGGTTTCATGAATTCTCATTTGGATGACTCTCAATCCAATTGAACCAAGTGTTCTAGACATCTATCAATCCTTTTATTTTTGTTACGTTAATAATCAATTGTGCATTGTACCAAACTAGCTTGAGGACCTTTTTTTTTTTTAAAAATGTGTATAGCTGCATAAAACAAAGCCACTGCCAGAAGGGAAATTTTGGTCTTCAAATATGCCACTAAGAGTACGACAAACATTAACGTTAATATAATAATTTAAAAAAAGACACAAAAGAAGATGCGCCAACAGATTACCCAACTATCCATGAGCCAGAAAAAGGACAAGCAACAATTATCTTTCTTTTCTCGACAGACAGGTTGCTTTGCCAGAATATATAGGACCTCACATTCACAGAAGCTTCATCACCACCATTTGCTTTCTCTGACCAGGCCAATACCACAAACCCACTTTAGTCTCTTTCTATTTGCCTCTTTCTGAGAAATATGGGCAATGCAGCTTCCTGTACACCTTCCTTGATGACATCAAATGGGGGAATCAAGGTTTTATCCTTAGATGGGAGGCTAGAGTCCTACACAAGAGCGGTGAAGGCTGCAGAATTAATGCTTGAGAATCCTGGGCAGTTTGTCTGTGACTCTAGTTTCCTCAAAGTAGGCCATAGGATTCATGGGCTTCTGGCTGATGAAGAGCTTGAGAGGAAAAAGTTCTACTTTCTTCTTCCCATGGAGCTTCTTTACTCTGTTCTCACACATGAGGAGATAAGCTCTATGAATTATAAAGCTTCTAGGGCTCTCAAGCATGGAGGGTTTAACAATCTGGGCAAGATTTTTTCCTGTCTGTATGTTTCCTTCTGAAGCAGAGAGATTGGAAGGTCATGACGATGATGATTATAAGGTGGTTTGCGAGGGAGAGAAGGCTGAGAAAAGAAGCTTTTCAAAGCAGGGATCTTGGAGACCTGCTTTGGAGACCATTGATGAAATTCCCTGAGGGGGTTTTAATGCACATTAAGTTTTTAGGTTTTGGTATTACTTGAACTTGGAAGTAGATATTCTTGATACATATATTGTAAGTTTATATTAGATTTGTATACATATAATACTTTTTTTCTGCAACCTCCATAGATTTGGAGTTTTTCATTCAGGAAAGTTGCAACGTTGGATCTGCACATTTCTGGGAAATCCCTCTGGATCTCAATATTTGTTGCATTTTCTTCTCTACATACACTCCCATTCTTACTGTATCTACACCGAAAAATAAAAACAAGAAAGAAAGCTGCTTCCCTCCTTCTGTTGCCAATTGTTTTTGAATCCAAACGCTTTCGAGAAGATGCTTGGTCATGTAGAAGCTTGTCGAAAGTTTATTTTATTTAGAAGTTTAAGCTATGAACTGAGATGCGATACCAGAAGCTTCACGAGAGGGTTTTAAAGAATGGAGGGCAGTAGTCACTTTGGAACCATTTAGAGGTCCAGTTCATCAGATTCTATTACACCAGTACAGATTCAAAAATCAGTCAGCTTAAGTATTTTGGATCCTTTGACATTAAGGGTTGCTAATCTGGAGCTCTTATATTTAATAACTTAAAAGATATTGTATTAGAAGAGACAAGTCTTGCAAAATTTGGATCGCACCTAATACAATGAACTCATAAACTCAACTGTTTGCAGTGGTTTAGACACAGCAGAAACAGGACAGCCAGAAGTCCAAGTTCCTTTGAAGAACAATGGGAGGAAGATTTTTTTTTTTAAAATTATGATGATGATGATGTAAGCAAAAGCAAATTTCGCAAATGATGTAAAATAAATAATGATGGAAAAATAAATACTACCTCCGATCCTAATTATAAGACCCAGTTGACTAATTTGAAGGGATTAAGGAAAGAAGTTAAATTAGTTATTTGTAATAAGTATGTGTTGTCTTTTCTAAAATATCCTTACTAATCAGCTATATTGGCTACAACTACAATTATTAGAAAGATTATCTTGAAAAAAATGTATAAATATGAGAGATAAAGTGGATTGAGGTATTATATTTAGGGTCAAAATAAAAGCCAAATAGAGTCTTATATTAAAGATCGGTAATACTAAATATCAAGTTGATATATTTATTTATTTTTTGGCCATTTTCTAAGTTAAAAGATTGCAAGTGGAAGTCTTGTAGAATCTACTTGGAACGAGACTGTAAAATTGACTGAAAATTTTCTACAGCTTCTCGTCAACTCTGCTGTACTTAATTTATATCGGCTTTCTTAATATGAACGTAATGTCAAAATTATAGTCAATTTCCGAGTCACGAACTGCTATGCTTAAATATTTATTGTCTTGAAATGATAGTTAATTTATAACTTCATTACAAAAGGGGGAGCACAAGTTGCTGAAGAAAAGGAATTTTAACGTGTTGTGTGGATCTGGGAATAGGAAACTTTACAATTCATAATGTTCTCCAATTTTGGATCAAGAAAGAAGAAAAGAAAAGAAAGACTATGAATGTACAACTCGGAAGTTGTCCCCCACCTTGTTTGTTTCTTTCTGTGTAATCAAACAAAACACACAAGAGGAAGATGAGGACACATGAAGAAAGCCACATAACCTTATTTTTGAATGTTCAAATAAAGAGAAGCGACAAAAGAAATGCATAGCTTAAAGTTCGACAATGAAAACTACAAAACTATGAAGGAAATCAACTAAAGATATATAATTAAGGAACTTCATGACATATCATACTTTGACAGCAACTGCTCTGTCTATTACTAAATTTGAAAAATTGAAATTACAGTTCTTTTGAGTAAGAAAGAAAAGATGCTGTTCTAACCAATCCTTCAATTCCCTTTTTCCTGGAAAATTCATCAATCTTTTGTTTGAAGTTATACAGTGGGGGAGACAAATTTGTCCATGAACACACAGGACAAAATTCCATTTCCTGTAAGTGGGTTTGATTGATGCAACAATCAAAGGGATGCCCTAAAAACCATTTTTACATCAGTAATTGATTTGAATTTTGCCAAAAGGGACACATGATTAATGTCAATCACCCATTTGTAGATTGATTATAATATGGACCACTCCCAAATCAAAAAGGAAAAGAAGAAAGTAAAAGAGCCCAAAAGGCATCACCTTGCTTTTTGCCTGTAAACCAAAACCACAAGATGAAATGCACACTGAAAAATAATTTGATTACTAATTAGTCATCAATCACCATCATCCAAACAACCTCCAAAACAGTCCCCATTTTCTTTTTCTTTTTTGTTTTTTTAATTGATTGAAAATTCAAAACTCGGAGCTTTATCCTTCCTATCCATTATGCCCCGCCGCTACAGATCCCGGTGAGTGAAACCGGGAATCTATTGCAAAGACTTCCTGCCGTGGAAGCTCCGTCGTCGACGTCGGTGGCCGGTGGGAGAACTCTACCGTTCGCGAATAACACTCGACCACTATTCCTCTGCTGACCCATGACCATTCCTTCGAGCTCGGCCGCCGTACCGTAAAACTCGCCGTCTCCGAATCTCCGTTCCACCTCAAGAAAGTCGCCGAGCGAAGCTGCCGGCCTCGCGTCGCCGTCCCTGCACAGGCTCCACCATCTCCTTCGCCTTTCTGCTACGACAGCCGCCGCGTCCACCGCCTTTGCTCTCATGTTTTTCTTATTAGGCTTGATGCCTCTCCTGGAGCCGCCTAACGGTGCGGCGGATCCAGCGGTGGCGGAATGCGGGTCTCGGTGCTGAGATGGGGCTCTGAATGTGATGGCCGGGAAGCTCACTCCCATCAAAGTACCCAAAGTAGTGCTTCTATCATGGAAAAATGACCCCGTGGACTGTACACAGCGAAAAGAAGATCAAATCATAAATTCAAGAGAAGGACAAAGTGGGGAAATCAGGAAAGTGAGATCGACTTACCTCAGTGTCAAGATCGGAGGAGGAAACGGACGAGATGGTCGGTGAAGATGGTGCAGGCATCAATTCAGTAGCTGGATCTAGCATTTTTGCGTATGGTTGAGAGATCAAACAGGATTGCTCGTGAGGTTTTTGAAGAAGAAAGAAGTAGGGACTGTGAGTTTTGTGATTGAGGCAAACTTTATTATGGCCTGCAAGAGAGGAGGAAGTAAGGAACAGAGAGAACGAGAGATGATTGTGTTTGAATTCATGCTAACCAGCTGGGTAAAATGATGTCAAAAAATAACATGTGCAGAGTTTTTTCCCCAAAAAATAAAAAGAAAATGTGTAAAGCTACAGTTTACCTTTTTTTCCTAAAAATATTTCATACACACCTCACTCCTAATTATAAGAATTAGGTAATTAATTTGTAATGATTAAAAATTAAAATTCTTATAAACATCATTTTTAATCTTTTGCATTTGAAACCTCTTAATATAATAATAATAATATGTATAATCAATAGAGTCTGGTCCAAAAAGTTAGAGATACCTTTAAAAAATTTATAAGTCTAGAATTAAGATTTTATATTTAGAATCAAAATAAATTATTTAGATAACTTTTAGATTAAGAATCCAAGTAAATATTTCTGTAAAATAATGTATGTTATTGATAATACTTCAGAAAAATAATTTACTTTTAACAGGTGTTAGGCTTTGTTTGAAATTTACTCCGTTAATGAAATGGGATGAAAATTTAAAAAGGCTCTCCCAAATTAAGTAAGGAATCACTAAAGTTGGATTTTGATGTAAGAGGTGTCAAAAAAAAAAAATGATGTAAGAGAGCCATCATGGTTAAGCATCTTGTTGAGTATATAATATCATAGCCTTAGATTACTTTACCTTAATTTAGAGATCTCTATCATCCTAATTCTTTTCAAATTCCAATGAATTGTATTAAAAGGTCCGCATCTTGATTATATCAGATTCTGTTGTTGCAAAAATAGTAAATGTAATGTTTAGATAGTATATTTTAAATTTATTATTTTTATTATAAATTATTGTTATTTAGTACTATTTATTAATAGCTAGAATATTGTTTTTATTATAAAAATTTATATTTAAACCAATTTTTGTGAGCCTTTAAAAAGATTAGAGGGGTACTTAAAATCTCTAGATACGGTTGAACCTCATTTTTCTGGGCTGTTATCATTTTAGACTTTGAATAACATAAGCATTGCTTACAGGCCGTCTGTAACTTGTAATGCTCTGGAGGGGATTAGTTTGATTTAATTGGATTATTAAGTTGCCAAATAAATAAAATAATTACCAAAAGATTAAAACGTAGTTTTCTGTATGGGTGTAAGGACGATAAGTCCATATAATTGGAAAAATGAAGGAAATTGCGTGTGAATTAAGACAGTTAAAAGAGGATAAATCTTAAGAGTTAACCTTCCAATCTTAAAAGATAAGCATGATTGGGTTAGGATAATATAGCCTTTATTTCCACATGATCTTTTTCAGGCTCGTCCTATCGAGTCATGAGACTTGCTATTTTATTATGGGCATCCCTTGGCCAATTTTTTAAAGATATTGTTTTTAAAAAAATAAGAAAAAGATCAAAGATACCCTTAAAATTTTAAAATATCAATTCAATATCCCAAAATGCCTGATCATGTAAAGTTTTTACGAACTAGTTCACAATTGAATTTTATAGTAGAACTACCTAAATGCCCTAATTTAAAACCGAAAAAACAAAAAAAAGGGAGTGATGTCAAGTTATTAACAATTTAACAAATAACAACACCACCAATCATTCTCTCATTAGATGGGATCAGCTATATGGATTATACGATATCATTATATTCTATCAACAATCAAGCCTTTTAATTAGATAGATTATTAACTCTGTCCACGCTCTAGAGCTAATTCCATGCTCAGATGAATAAGGAGGGGTGCTTTAGACCCTCAACAGCAAATGTAAAATGCTGTCAAATTTATATAGACATGAAATTTAACAAATAAACAATTTTAATTGAAAAAATTGAAGGGAAAAAAAAAGCCATGAAAATTGAGAACAGCAAACCAAGTATTTTGCTAAAATTATGTTGTTGTTTGCAATTCGATTATTGTTAAAGCTCATACATACAGTCCCTTTTTGTTTTTTCAATTTTTCCATTTTAATTTATTACAACAATAATTAAGATAATGATATCTAATTTTACAAAAATTTCTTCTTTTTAATTATAGGCATTATGACTGTCGATCAAAAAAATTATAGGTATCATGACATGCTTGGTGAATAAAATGCTGCTATAATGATATGTCAATTATGGGTCCAGTGAGAATGAAGCAATGAAGAATGAATGCCCTCAAAATTTTAATTAAAGGCAAAGATTGATTGAGAGCATATGAGCTATCCCACATGATGTAATGTCGTAACCAAATACAATTATAGTATGGGTAGATGGGGCAAAATTCGAGATGGAAAGTGGGGAAAGGTTGGAATACGTGAGGCAATCATTTGGATGACTTAAGGATTTTAAAATCAATTTTATTGTTAAATTAGTAAAAATAATTTCTTACACAACTACTCAACCCTTTTTTTTTTGGGGTTATTTTTCAAAAGCAGCTATCTATTTATTTTAACATGTTCTTTTTATAAGATAGTTTTTGGAGCATGCATGATCTTATATATAAGATATACTTAAAGAATGTCTGAAGTTTTAACCGATTTTTTCTTTTTAAATATTGGCACCCTTTGATAGTTCCATTACATATTGTATTGCTATTACCTACTTTTTTTTTAGTACTTACTCATTTTTCTTCTTCTTCTCTTTCTATAAATAATAATATTTTTTAAAAAAGTAAAATATATGTGCAACATATTTATTGTCTTTAATCAAATTTAATTAATTTTTAATCTGTATAATTCGCTTATTTGTGTCTTATATTACCTCCGGTCTTAATTATAAGAGCTAGTTGACTAATTTGATGAGACTAGAGAAAGAAGTTAAGTTAGTTATTTGTAATAAATATATGTTATCTTTCCTAAAATATCTTTACTAATCAAGTATATTGGTTAGAACTATCATTGTTAGAAGGATTATCTTGAAAAAAAATACATAAATATGAAAGACAAAGTAAATTGGGGTCTTATATTTAGGATCAAAATAAAAGTCAAACAAGGTCTTATATTAAAGATCGGAGATAGTATATACAGTGGAGTGAATATTTCGTATTATTAGACCGAATTAAAACATTATTTGATTCAACTGCAACAATTATTCAAAATTTATAATCTTATTTAAGAAACACCAAATCTTTTTCTCTTGATCCAATCTCTACTGATATTTCCCCCGTTATTTAAATATCTCATACTTTCTTGGGAATTCAAATAAAGAATGGGAATTGATTTATTGCTAAGAACTCACATGGCTACAATTTTAATAAAAAGGAAGCTTAGTGTCCCTGAATCATGCTATTTTTTCACTTGGAACATAAGGAATCTTGTCAGGCAACAACATTGTACCTTAATGTTCACCTAATTGAGAAGTCTTGGAATTCTGTGAATTGGATACTGTGTTATCAACCTAAAAGGTGCAAATTACATCTAAAGTAAAGAAACTAACAGTGCACTTAATTGGTCATGCTTGCTTTTAGGTACGCTTGTGGGACTTGTGGGCTCTCTCTAACTTTACAGTTCATGGTGGCTATGCAAATTCATGTGAAAAAGTTTCAACCACGAAGAGCAGTCATTCATGTCCAATAGAAAGTTCAAAGTTCACTATTTCCTCAATTAAATCACTAGAGATGATGGTACTGTTCTTAGAGGAAAAAAGCCAACTTTGAGAATGTTTTGAAGTTCATAGCTCAAAATTAAACAAAAAAGGACTTTATATATGTGTGTGTCTGTGTGTATCTTTTTAAGTAAACTTGATGAGTTTGAGAACTATGGATGAAAGGGGCCGGGCGGGAAGATTTTTTTTTTTTTTAACAATTCAGGATTTAATGCATACAAATTAATCAAAAGCTGGAATAATAAATGAGTCTCTTGCCCTAAAAAGTTTAAAGACAACAGAAAACCCAGAGGCTAAAAGTATTCAACCTCCAAGTGAAGTAATTAGCTTAAAATTAGATGCTTGGTTTTTCCCCCCTCTATCATGCTTCACTACAATTTTGAAACGTTCAAATTAATTTTTATTGGTCCAAATTAATGTATATTTTTTAAAAAATGATTAAATCTATCTGTTGTCAAATTCCATTTAATAGTCATGATAAGTAATTGAAATGATCTACCACTCTATTCCTTATTATAAGTTACTTGTATTCTAAACCCGCAAATCAAGAAATATATTAAATTAACTAGTTTTTTTTTTCATATTTATCTTTAGTAAAAGTTGAGAGAGAGAGAGAATGGGAGGGGATGGATTGCATAGGAAATGAAAAGCTGAGAGAGAGATGGAGAGATTAATTAATTTTTTATTAAATTAATAGGGGTAAAATTAGAAAAAGATCATTAATTATACTACAAATGATTTATATTTTGAAGGGAAAACCATATTAGAGGTACCTATACTTTCTCTCAATTTTCAATTTGGTACCTATGTGTTTTTTTGTTCTTAATTAAATCTTTAATTTTGCTCTATTAATATCATTAATCCTTATGTAAAGACTAAAAATATCAATAAAATAAAGTTATAAGAGCTAATGTTGCTAAAAAGATAAAATTAAATGTTTAATTAAAGGGAAAAAAACACATAGGTACCAAATTAAAAATTGAGAGAAAGTATAGGTACCTCCAATATAGTTTTCCCTATTTTGAAACAAATTTTGGAGATACAAGTGACCTATAATAAGTAATAGAGTGGTATCTACTTCTAAGGGGGTGTTTGGATACCTTGAAAAGTGCTTCTCAAAAATACTTTTTTGCAAATCGAGATAAATTCTTTCACATTTTATCTCGTAAACTGTAAAATCATTTCTGAAACCATGATATGGTTTCATCCAAACACCCCTAAAAGTAGTTTTTCTTAAGAGAGAAAAAAAAAAAAAAAGCACCTTGTTTTGTTCTTGAAGTTGATTCCTTCGCCAAGTGTATCAGAACATGCCGCCTGATGGTCCCAAGGAAAGAACACCAATTGCGTGTGTGAGATGGCTGACCTGAGAGCTGCCAAGTGCTATACGTGAGCCAGATAAAAAAAATATATATATATATTTGGATGAAAATCAAATTTTAATTTTAAAAATAATTTTAC